AATATAATATAATATAATATAATATAATATAATATAATATAATATAAATATAATATAATAATATAATATAATATAATATAATATAATATATAATATAATATAATATAAATATTTTCTCTGAGAATAAGAGCATCAATAGCTGAAATGGACTACAGTCCATGAAAGCAAGTAGCATAGTAAATTTGTTAACATTTAAGATGCCCAAGTCCTTTTTTTGTTCTTGATAAAAGAAACAATTTATTCCTGAGTACATGCCTTCTATGTATAAGTGCCCTTACTTAATCATGATAATGACCTAATAATGAAATGTGCAATATAACATGCACATGACATATGTTTTCCCCTTCCATATTATCAGTACAGTATACCACACAAGTGTACAAGGAATGGAGTTTGTGTTGTAATGGCAAAACACACCCATCCTTTCCTATGAATGCCTATACTTTATATGTTTCTATTTTAGACATTGTATAGATCTCCCCATGAATTCAGTTACCGTGTATTTGTTTTCTTATGACTTGCCTGTGTTGTAGAAATAGTGCAGTTTTGTAGCACACAAATCACACTGTTTTTTAGCTTAGTTAATGCAGTTCTGGAATACAATCTATTGTGATTGTGTTCTATAGAATGTGTTTTTGGGTATCATGGATACAATTTAGGAATGACCTGAAATAGTATCCTCAGTTTATTCCCTTTATTTGCAGATTGCAAATAAATAAATAAATTTGGGGCCAAGAATAGGATGAGCCAAAAGAGGATGGACTGTATTAGAAGTGAGACAAGAAAGTGAACATTTCCTTTCTTTTCCATTTATTCTTATAGTTTAGAGATTGCTAAGCATTCCAACAACTTAAAAAAAGATTAAGGTTTTATTTGTGCCAACACATATGCCAAGTTTTTGAGCTGAAAAAAATCAATCTGTGTCTATTTTTTCTTACTCCCAAATGTCTCTAAATGGTCAATAGTATCATTGTAAATAACTTCATTTCAGGAGCATCTTGGGAGTGGGAAAGATGGCCGTTGGTGCTTTGTTCTAATTAAAATTAGAAATACTTGCATCATTAAAAATTATTAAAAATTCAGGTAATAAGTAATTGGCAAAACTAAAACAAATAGCATTTTTAAAATTTGAAGAAAGGGAATTTATAGCTTTCACTGTAATGTGCATCCTCCAAGTTAGGAGATAATCTGGGATTTTCCACTGGATAATGAGAACTATAAATATCATAGGGATTAATTTAATTTCACATGATTCTCTATCCCAGCATATCACTCTGCAAAAGTACTGCTAAAGTGCCATAAAGTATGTTGTGTCAATAATAATTCAAACCCCATTACAAAATTTGTATTTTCTGTTTATCATGATGATTAAAGTGATCTGTTTTTAAAAAATTATGCAGACAGGGAAATTCATGGATGTTGAGTTTCCTACTTGTCTTATCCTTTTGGGAATCCAAAGGGCTTTTCTGTGGCACACAATTTTTCTGGAATAATGTCATATGGTCAGCCGTGGCTTTCTACAGAAAAGGGTGTTCTGTCCAGTTTGGAACAAATACTGTCCCTCAGTGGAGCTTCCTCTTATCCCACCCAGAACGTTCAATTCTGAACCTTTGAAAGTTTCTTGGGAACAGAGAGACTGTAAGAGTGAGAGTAGGATCATACTTATTTGGGTTTCTTGTTAAAACCAATAAATTACAAATTGACTGATACTTCTTATGGTTGTCATAAATGCCATTATTCAAGTCTCATAGGGTTTTTCAATAATTAATCAGGGATCTCTTGTCCTGTTTCTTTGCAAAAAAAAAGGTAACATTTCAGCATTGTCATACAATTGTTCAAAATTCATGGATTTACAAGTAGACTTTTATACAAGATAAGGTCAAATTAACTACTGAAGTAATCATTCCGTTATAGTTAACATAGTCTAATATTAATTGGAAGCCATTTTATGTTGAGCCATAGAAAATGGTGGCAATATAAACAGAACGTTCTTACTCTATAATGTCCTTCCTCCATACTCTAAGTGGCCTGGAAGCTCCTTCAGTGCAGTGCACTGCTATAATTGATGTTGGTGATTATGAGTTTGTTTTATTTATACATGGTAATGCTACACTAATGTGGTCTTTGTAGCTAGTATTATAGCAAAAAGAATGAAGAATATCACACACATTAAACTGCCAATCAGACATTTTGTCTGCTTAAAATGTCCATTCACAAATTCTCTTTTGGAGTAATTACTCCAGCTGCTGCAGTGACCCTGGTATTCCTATTTTCTCAGTATGTCAGAATCTGACTTTTTTTTCTAAAAAAAGAGGATAACCTATCTATTTGACAATGGAAGGTGCATGCTTTAACTAACATGACTGTTTTTTGCACAGAATGGTTTTACTCCACTGCACATTGCTTGCAAGAAAAATCGCATTAAAGTAATGGAACTGCTGGTGAAATATGGGGCTTCAATCCAAGCTATAACAGAGGTAGAGAAATTTCACAAAGAGCCATCTCTTATGGCCATCTCTTCTTTCTCTTCACACCCTCCTTTTTATACATATATCTATATATACGTATATAAATCCGGAAGAATTTAAAGGCATTTTGCAGAGGAGTAAAATTGCTATTGCTTTATTTCACAGTCGGGCCTGACACCAATTCATGTAGCTGCATTTATGGGGCATTTGAACATAGTTCTTCTACTACTGCAAAATGGGGCTTCTCCAGATGTCACTAACATTGTGAGTATGGCTTGGATTTGAATAATCTTAGGATAGCTGAATGTGATGTTTCTTAACCAGAAACTACACTAGATATTAGTATTTTGTAAACTTTTTTCTATCTAGCCTTCTTTCTGGGATACATTCAAGATGGAATATGGTCCCTTTTTTGGTTGTCTGCTTGTCTTGTAAATACTTTTAAAACACTTTTATTTCTGAAATCTCAAACTAATGTCTAAGCAATTTTCTAAATAAATAATTTCAGGATCTTTTGTTATCTACTCCTCAACCTTCCTATGTCTTCAATTTTGACTACTATAATAGCAGAGTTATGCCAGTGGTGCCCATATATGGTAGAGCATGCTCAGAAGTTTGTGCTAGTAAATTTCCAATGATAAACAAGTATTCCAAGTATAGACTTTAGACTAAAACCTAAAACTTGCACAATTGTTACAAACTAGATTTATGTTCGGTAAATAAATATAAATATTTTTCCCCAGCCATTATGTTCAAGCATAAATAATTATATCTATAGTATTTACTGTTTTTTTTCACTGTTGAATATATTTGTCAGATTGACAAATAAGTGTCATAAGTGGCAGGTGACGATAAGGTTTATGTTTGATATTATAACCCAAGGATTGAGTCTAACTACTTGTTTTCTGTTTAGAAAATTGTTAATTTTCTAGCAATTTTCTGCTATCTAGGAACAGCAGAAACACAGAGGATAATTGTTGCTGTGGTTCCTCACATTTTCATTCCAAATTAGG